TATACAGCTGTGTATACACTGACATGTGCCGTTATTTCACCTCTTGTAACTTTCCTGATTGCGCACGTATAATAGCGACTGTGGTGCGCTGCTGTCTGCGTTTCACCGTGGGCCTTTGCTTGCAGACCTATGGGCATTATTGTTGCACCACGCCACCTCTGTGCATGGTCACGCCAGCAGCTGCAGGTGCTCTGCTTGGCTGTTTAATAGAGCGTTTCCGGCAGCAAGCGGTGTGCGCGCTGCTGTGCACTGGTCGCTCGCTCTTTGCAACTTCTCTTTCTTCTCACGCAGCTTCTGAGAGCCATTGTCAGTCATGCACGGTTGGGCATATGCGGTGACAGTTGTTGTTACCATGGGGCCGTTGCCGGCGCACTGCTGTCTTTCTTTGCCACGCCCTCTTTGCTCTTTGTTGAGGCAGTTGGCTGCTGGCCATCGCTGCCGCCGCCCGCTTGCAGCCCGTCTCTTGCCGCGCCGCTCCTATTTGTGCGTACACGGTTGACTGCGCTGAATATCGGCCGAAGATACGTGGTTGCTGTACGCATGCCGGTAGGCGTTGTCCACTGTTTGTCGACGCCCGCGCCTGCGGGTCAAGCCAAAGTCCCCGCGCCCCAGCAAGCCGGCGAGCGCGCTGGGCTTTGCGCGCGGGCTTCTCCCTGCTTCAACACAGACGCGCGTGCGAACGGTCGCGTTTTTTTTGTCGGCATCACCGTCGCCACGCGCTTTGTGCTGACTGGACGCATATGGCAATTAATGGACGGCGGTGGGTGTGGCGCTGACGAAGACGAAGACAACACGGTCGGGAAACGTCAGCATGAGCACAGGCGACGCCAGCGAGAGCGCAAGCCAAATAAAGAGCACGCCACGGTTGTCAGCGCTGAAGGAAAGACCGTGTGTTTACTCCATATACACCAGTAGGTGCACTCGGTAGAACATCAAAAAATTCAATATACTTGGTTTCATGTCAGCTACCTTAAGGAAGAGCAGCAGGGGGAATGTAGTGTTTGGCGAGTAGTCATGTTCAGAATGTACAGATGTGTATGCGCGGCGAGACCTTTTCGTTTCGCGCACGCTGACGAGGGCATTATGCGGAGGCGTCGCAGAGCATGCTCCCCAGTACGAACTAAAACGCGGCGACAGGGAGATGTTCATCGCTGGGCGTAGTCGCCGGCAGTGGCGCACCTTCGATTTCGCCCGCGGAGCGCGAACCTCGCGCAAGTACAGCTGGCGGGTGGGAACGCTAACCTACCTGGCTTGTAGATTGCGTCGGTGGGGCCGGCATGGGTCGACTGCGAAGATGGAAGCCTGCATATCTGCGGCCAACTACTTTCGACGCCGCTGAAAGTAGTCTCGGGCGCACGAGTCACCGAGCAGCCAGGATAGGCGAACGGGCACGGCAGCGGGGGGAGTATGGCGCAGTGTCGACTCTACGGCGTGTATAAGAGGCCCTAGGCCCGGACATGAGGCAGGCCCTCATATTGCGTATGCTGACGAGGACTGCGCACGGTGTAGCCGTGCGCAGTCCTCTCCAGCGCGCGCAAAATGCGGCGAGTGTTTGGAGTAGGGCGCAGCAGCTTCTTTTTTCCCTTCGCAGAGGCTCGGCACGTGCTGGATGTGGTATGAGCAGCAGGGAGAGCTTCAGCCCTGCAGGCGAAGGCTGACCGCTGCGGGGCGATAGCCAGACTGTGCTGGCACGTGCCGAGCGTTCGTGGATGGCCGCAAGAGGGTCGATAGAAGGGGATGGCTGGCTGGATTTGCAGCCTACGCGTTTTCAGCTTCGTCCAAGGGCGTACGACGGCGTTCGATCGGCGATGGCTTGCGTTCCGCGCCTGTAGAGCCAGAGGCAACCCAACGGGCAGAACAGCGAGCCGAGACACGCGACCGTCGGCCGCCAGCGTTCGTTCAAGCGCGGCGAGGGAGATTGGGCTGCCGGCAGTTGAGGCATCTGCTTGGAAGACGCGTAGCAAGGCCCTAGATGCACGATCAGGACAATGCAAGCGAGATGTGACTCGCCTTTACCCACTCCCACGTGGCGCTTCTACTAACAGGTCTCCAAAGGCGCGAGCAATGAGCTGGCGGAGGTGGGGGTTGGTGACGCAGAAGAAGAAGCAGGAGGAGCGACGAAAGTTACCTTGACGACCGAACAGCGCCTAATTCCCAGTAGCCGCGCGTGTGAAAGCGCGCCTTCCTCTACTCCTCCCGCCTCTTTCCTCGGCCACTACGACCACTCACCGCAGCAGCAGCAGCAGCAACAGCAATGCTGCCACCTTGCACGACCGCTGAAAAATGTGTAGGACGCAGGATGCAGGACAAAGGGCGATGCAGAGAAGGAGTAGACTGAAGGGCAAGAAGGAAAGAAGAGGCGAGGTCGAACGGCAAGAGATGGGCCCAGTGGCAGCGGTGCTGGGTTGTCAAAGGTACGGAGCCGCTTATTAATGATTTACTGACTACGTTTGATCCTCAGACTTTTTCCCTGCGTCAGTGCAGGTCGATTGGGCTCACGGGGGCGACAAGAACCATGACGATGACCACGAAGACAGCCGTCAGCCAGTCCGCGCACTCATTCCAGCGTTCGAACCAATACAACAGCTACTTTCGATGCCGTCGAAAGTAGCGATGGTTCTTTGCACTCGGCTCCAGTGAGGAAGATGGCGCAAACAGTCGGCACGACCGCTACACCGAGGATGACGCACCTTCGCGTCCAGCAAACGCGCCGCCCCATCGGTGCTCCTACCGACAAACGGCGGCCGAAACTAGTCGCACAGCAAGGCCAGCAGAGCACAGGGCAGGCTCGTCGACTACGTCGGCAGACTCGTCGACCGTGCCGGAGAACGCGCCGAGAGCGAAAGTACTGCGCGTGGCCACGGAGGACAGAGATGAGACGAGCGCGCAGGCAAGGGTGGCGGCGCACCCGAGCAACGTCTGGGCAATGTTGTAGCATGCACCGTCGTAGAGGAGTAAGGGTGCTAGACCTCGTCGAGGACTGGTCCGAAGCATCCAGGGAACGTGAAGTCAGGCGTCGAGAAAACGGTTCGGGGGGTGTGGCCGCCCATTGGCGGCAGATTGGCGGCCTCGATCGGCGCATCAAAATCGAGTAAGACCCCTCAAAGGCTGATCCCGTCACCGGCGAGCTTCTTCCACCCTAGTCACCATGCTCTTCCGTCAGCAAGGACCGAGTACTGAGGTCTTGGGCGCAAGGTGTGTCCGCTTTACCTTTCCATTGATCGAGCAGCCTGAGACCTCTCACTCACGAACAGCACCGCGTCGTCACAGGCTGATCGGCGAGTGCTGCCCCCAAGCTTGTAGTACATGCCACCCTCCAAGATGGGTGCGCACATGTCTCTGACGTCGCGCACAGACAGAAGCAGCCCGACAAGGCACTGAGATTGAAGGGCATCGACGGAGAATGATGTCATGGCCATGTCGAAGCTCCCGACCGCCCCATATCGCCTCAATATATCATCTTCTGCCGGAGGTTCTGGATGAGATGTTCGTCATGCTCGTGCAAGACTGGGCCTGTGAGTGACCAGCCAAGCAGCGCGAGAGATAGGAAAGGCCAGAACGAAGGCCAGATAGGCAGCATCCCACCCTCGTTTGAGTAGCTAGCTGGAAACGAGTAGCAACAGTCTATTGCACGCGAACAGCTAATATGTACATGACCACTTGAGCAACTCTACCCTCATCCTCCTACGCGTCCCAACATTGACCTGCCACCATACATCCGCACTGGCTTGGTGAATTGTTGTGATCGCGTGCGCTGCTGACATCGGCCGTAACGAGTCAATTGTCTTCACTGTCCCCGCTGGTGGGTCGCAGTGGTCGTAGGTAGATTGCGCGAGGCCACTGCTTCGCGTCTCGCGCGACATGGGCTGCGACCAAGGATGTCTTGTCATGAGTTTTCCCAAGCGACGCCCGTGCGGTCTTAGAGGACAGACAGAGTTGCCGTCAGCTATGCATGTGTTGTCGAAGAGGCGGGCGTATCTTGTCGCCTGTACGCGCTATGATGCGCTCGGCCCAATGTGTCCTACAGTAGCCACTTGTGTGAGTACGGCTCACTCAGCGAAAACCGGACGACGCACGTTGCAGTCGGTCTAGCCACAGTGCAAATACCACTCCTGGGGCTGTTCACTTGTTTCCTATCCCCCATAGGTGTCCGTTGAATTCAATAATTCTAGAGTTTGATGAGCACCAGGACTTGAAGTGTCTGCAGCTACTGGATAACGAAGAATTGGATGTCACTGGGGACATGGGCTCTGAACACGAGTCGGAGAACGATGAAGAATCC